AGGGCAGAGGTAAGGGGAAAAAAATGAGAATCAAGACTTGCCATGTAAAGGTACATGATCCCAACAATGAATGTAACTGTACTGTATCCCTAAATGTACCAATAAACTCAATTAAAAAAAAAAATATTACGAATACTTACTGATGTGTGTGTGTGTGTGTGTGTGTGTGTGTGTGTAGCAGGTTATGAGACTCCTATATAAAGGAAGCAGTTTCACAAGCAAGAACATATGAGATTTACTGTTTACGAAATTACCAAATGGTACCATAAATATAATAGTAGCTTTACCAGTGGGTATTTGCTAAGCTAAAATATTTGCATTAAACATCAAAATGTTGTCATGTTTGAGTATAAGAACAACTGTCCAAGTCATATGCCAAGATAAGTTTTGAATAAACATATAAACACACATGTCTAATTTTTGTACAAGTTTGCTTTCAATTTAAATGACCTCAGGTATATGAATTTGATTAATTATACTCCTTGGTTCATGATATATTATCATCAGTGGTCCATGCATGGTCCACTTTTGTATTTATGTATTTATTTATGATACTTGCGAATGCAATAGGTAGAAAACTGACAATAACTTAGTTATTTGTTTCTACTCCAACACTTCTCTTCTTATCTCCTCTAAGGTTTTATTATCCTGAAGCCTAGGTTTATTATTCTCCTGCTTTCATTGCTGATGAATTTTGTTTTATATATATAAAGATGAATGATGTTTTAGTTATTTCGAGTATTCTAAAAGAGTTCCAGTTTGTATAATCTCTTTGGACATACTCTTTTCATTCAATATAATATTGCTAACACTCATCCAAGTAACTATATGTAACCATGGTTCATTTGTTTGACTGCTGCATAATACAGCATCACATGAATATACTAAATTTATCAGAAATGCCTTTTTAAGGTACCCAACAAAATATGTATGACAAAAATCATTATTTGTAACATTAATAGAAAAGTTTGGAAAAATAATCAAACACTAATGTCCACAGAGAAAACATCTGAACACAATACTGAATTATAATCTTATTTATTATCACATTTATTATTAATTATCAGTTAAATTTTTGGATTTCAAAATCAGCTACAAAAATTCATATGATGTAGCTAACATTATGAACATTATATACTATTTGGTATTACATACATACCAACAAAAATAATTTAGACTGGCAAAAAATAAAAGGTTTAACTGCCTTCCATGTTTTAGCAAGAATTATTAAGATTAAAAATGTTTTTAGTTTTACTAAAATGAAAAATAAAACCAAATCACACAAATAACTGAAGTTTTTCATAATATAGAAAACAATAAAAATTGAAACAATAATGTCATAGATACACAATGTATTAAAATGTTTTTAAAATAAAGCAGAGGCTAATGATAAAGAAATATTCATTTTTTATCTCCTTAAGCACCTCAAATTCAGAAGCTATATTTAGCCTTAATTTACAATGACAGTGTTGGCATTGAGCTTATTTTATTCAAGATCAAAATTTCAGAATAAGAGGTGCCTTGTTTTCTAATGCTTATAAGCTATATTTCAAAACCAAAAACTGTGCAGTGAACTAATATTAGAACCACGGAGGAGAACTTAAAGATCACCTAGTCCAATTTCCTCAAGTGAAGAAACAGAGGCTCAAATAAACTGACCTGCCAAATTCACATTAATTTCTTAATTCTACTGGGGGTAGTTCCATATATCCTGTTATCAATCAACTCACAAATCACTGATCCATTGAAATTTCAACTACTTGGCCACAAAAAGGTTTAATCAACCAACAATGAACTACCTTCATATACAGCAAAACATCCTATGAAACAGCTAGACCCTGTGCTAACTAAATCCTCTCTACAATTTAAAGCAGAGGCAGCAAACTTTTCCTTAAAGGGTCAGATAGTAAGTATTTTAAGCTTTTTTGGCTCACAAGATCTCTGTCACAACTGTTCAACTCCATTGTAGTGTAAAAGAAGTCACAACAGTATATAAACAAATGAGTATGGTTGAATTTCTGATTTACAGAAACAGGTAGGAGGCTAGGGTGGCCTACTAGTGCTATAGTTTGCTCGCCCTCAATTTAAAGGATGAAATTTATGAGGTGCATGACTCAAACAAAACTTTGTATGAGTAAAGAGTAAGAAAGATGAGGAAAGATACCATATGAAAGCATTAGGATAAAGAAAATAATTTTCACCAAAATATTTAGTCTGACATCAAAAATACTTTGAAATAAAATGCTTAAAGTATGAGAATGGGAGAAGTTTTAATCTTTGAAGAAATCATAACAATCTACTGTCTTTGTCTTGTTTTATCTGAGTACAGTAAACATTTCTGAAAAGCATACCAAAAGTTTCTACATAGTAATTGAGATTAAGCCCAATTTTTACTTAATATTAATTCAGAGTCACTTACTACATGAAGAAAATATGAAGTCCAACAAGAAATTTTTGAGACTGTTTACTTGTCCTTACAACTTTGATTCTTAAATGGAATTTTCAAAATGAACATGGCAGAGCTGCAATACATACTTTACAAATCATAAAATATGTAGGCAAGCTAAAAGGGGAAAAAAATTAAACATGCCATCATGTACTTGCTTGAAGCTCTTCTTTTTTCTGGGGCTCAACTGGCCAAAAAGAAGTAAATACACTACCACACAAAAATCAGAAGACAAAAGAAGAAATTTGATACAGGAGACAACATTTACATTTGCCCTTCTTTATATAATTTAATTTGAAATGAACAGATAAAATAGCATTTTACCCATACATGTTATACCATGAAACACAGGTTTATAAATATTTCTAGTATTATTTTTAAAACAAAACCCTAATACCATGTTTAACAACTGAGAGGGAAGGTCAAATTGTATTTTAACTAGGAAGATTTAACTAGTAAAATTCCTGACGCAGCTTCATAAATTGTTGCTTTGATATTCCATCACTTTCCACTGTAACAGCTTCCATTTAAATATGAAAACTAGGGGTGGGGATTTAGATCATTGGCACTGTGTCTGCCCCACAAGCGCAAGGTCCTCAGTTCGATCCCCAGTGTCAAAAACAAAAATGTAAACTTAAATCAAGCATCTACAAAACAGTGTAGTCTTTCTCTGAAAATGTAAGTTTATCCTGTATAACAAATCTTTTAAATATTTGTAAAAGAACTAAAATACTAATATATTGTGCCAAGTTTTGTCAAAAACTTGATAGGCTCTTATGATAATTAAATGAATTCATATTTATAAGGTGCTTAGAATTATGCCTGGCATGTAGAAAGTAGCTTCTAAGTCTTTAATAAATATAAATTTCATATTCACTCTGTGATGGTAAGCAGAAGAAATATGTGCCCTACCCCAGCAACAAAAATTCATGCTATTGAACAGTGATTGCTTGTTTTTTCTCCTCTCATTGAGCTACTTTTCACAGTTTGTGTAAGCTCTTGGTCTAAGAAAGCCAGTACTGTAGGAAGCAGGCTAGAGTACTGTCAGCACATACATGTAGTTAGGTCAGGCTCCTGTGGTCCTAGCTACTCGGGAAGCTGAAGTAGGAGAATCACTTTGAGGCCATGAGTTTGAGGCCAGCATGGGCAATAGAGCAAAATGTACTAAGTCTGCAGCATTTGCTCTCTAGAGTTAAGTGATACGCATTCATTGTGCTCGCTTCGGCAGCACATATACTAAAATTGGAACAATATGCATTCATTAATATGACAGGGAACTTTTCACACAATATTCACCTGAGCTAAACAAAATTAGGAAAGTAAGTATGTTTCAAAATTTAATATAATTCCTAAGTGAATTGTCAATTTTCAAAGAATTATAAAATAATATCATATTGTACATTATATTGACATCATTTAGTTTCTTTGATCACAAATACCTCTGTAAGTTTTTTAAGAAATCAGGCAGCTTGGACACATTATAATCTCTAACACTTTCCCAAGGATGTTATCAAGGAAGGGTTTTATTATGAAATATAATAGATTTAATATGGAACTTGTTTCTTCCCAACACTTTAGAAAATGGCTACTACTGGCAATAGTTAACATTTCACATTTCTTTTTAATCAGGACCAGGGATCAAACTCAGGACCTTGCAATTGTGAGGCAGGCACAGGCATTTCACATTTTTACAACCACAGTATAAATGGTTTTAAATAAAAGCACTAGTTAATAGAGAATACTTACAAGAGTTTTCTATGGGTTTATATTACTTATTATTCTTTTCTATTTACATGTGTGATGTAACTACATCCTTTATTACGACAGAGCTTCTAACAAATGACTTTTTGGGGGTGGGTACCGGTGATCAAACTCAGGTCCCTTGCACTTGTGAGGCAGGCAGTGGAACCACTGAGCTAAATCCCCGGCCCTGAACAACTCTTGATAATACAATAAAATTGTTCCTCAAGGAATTTTTTTTTAAATCATCAGTTCATCTATTAGATGCTTTATACTAGAGATCAAAAGGGAAAAATACTAGAAACTTTGAAAATGCATGTATTGAAGGTGAGTGATCAAAGAGAAGTATTCCCTGTAATACTCTCTAAACTATAGCAATTTCATCAGTGAGTGAAAACATGGAAAATCATGTATAAGCCCCTAACACTGGAATACACTGTTTCTGCAATTTCACAGAGGTTTTTTTTTTTTTGGTACCGGGGATTGGACTCGGGACCTCACGGCTTGGGAGACAGGCCGCAGAACCACTGCGCTATATCCCCAGCCCGGTCACAGAGGTTTTAAAAAGTGCGTTTTTACAAAAAAATTTGAAAAATGAGAAACAATGATTACTAACTCCTTAATATTCCCAGATTATACACACACCCACACACATTTTTTTTTAAAGAAAATGGTCTTGCTTTGAATACTCCTGATAAATAATTCTAAACTATTTTGGTAACTGTATTTCAATGACAATCAGGTAAATTTCAATCTATCAGGTAAAGACAGCTGTCTAATTTAACCAGATATTTAATATTTTCTTAATACTTACCTCTCTTTTTATGAGATGATGCCAAATCCAAATCAACATTTCGTCTGCCACTCTATTCAAAGTAAAAAGTAAATAAAATTTAGTCATGAAAAGTACTAAGACTTAATAAAGTATTAGAATAATTTATACAATGAAAACAATCCATACTTATTCACCAATCAAGTTAACCTAACAACAAAAAGTCTCTAAATACCCACTGAAAACAGCTGTAAGTGTAAGCACATAATTTCTGAGATGCTAACTCAAGCAAAAATGTCAACGTGCATATTAGTTATCACAGTGAAGTTGCAAAACTGTTTCTTTTGCTGTTACCTCTTCTTTTTTGGAAACTATCTTTCCTCTTTACAGTATAATTGATGCCTAAGGCCCTTGCAGCAAAGTTCCATTTGCCAAACCTACTACTCTTTCCTCTTATCTTTACTTTCTTTTCTTTTCAAAACTTGCGGTATCCTTTGCTAGTTGTTTAGAGAAGATAACAAGATGAATCCACACTAACATAAAAAAACATAATCCTAAGCATATGGTAATATTTTTAAAGTTTTTTAAACTTGTTAAAAATAAGAGAAATTTCAAATTAGTGACATGCACACATACCAATTAATAAAACAGTGAAGCCTTTCAAGAACACAAGCATATTTCTGTATGTATCTGGTAGTGGAAGGTAAAAAAACCTATTCATTCTGCCCTTATATATACCCAATCACATATAACAAATGCATGGCTTAAGTTTATAAATTTGACAATATGTTCTTAGCAATTTTAACTATATTCTTGCTCATACTCATAAAAGCTGCTATCAAAATGGTATGACTGCAGAAATGACAAAATAAATGCATTTGGGAAATGTCACTGTAGAAAATCTTCACACGTATAGAAACATACAACCACGTGGAGATATTCTGCCTTATTAGCCCCCTGCTCCCACATACATAAACAGAAATAAGTATATTCTCATTTTATGAAGAATACACCAAACAGCTCAATTAACAGCACCTGAAGAAATCACTGTGTCATTAAAAAAAATTTTTTTATTTTGGCTGGGGATACAGTTCAGTGGTATAGTGCTTGCCTAGCTAGCATAGGTAAGGCCCTGGGTTCAAAGGCACCAAAAAAGAAAGAAAAAGAAAACAAATATTTTTTACCACATACTAGTTTTACTCACATAAGAAATTAATCTCATGACTCAAAATTAGAAATATTTGTTTCTTTTAAACAACTGGGTTGTTTTTATATTTTAGATGTTATGGGGCATACAACACTACACTTTTGCAGTAGGCCCCACTTCTAGCAGAACACCACAACACCTTCATGGGATGTACAAGTCTTACCCAGGGCTTTGTTTTCCTTTCTCAGCTTTTGTTTAGACCCTAATTCATTCACCTAATTTACCTTTTTATCAAGTATTTCTGTTTATACACTAAAGAAAATCCTTTGAGACAAGAGGGACAAAAGTTACTATAACCAGAGCCTTGTACATCCACACCTTGAAAACAAAAACCCTTCTTCATTAAATCTGGGTATACCTACCAGTGTGTAACCCTCTTCATCTGATTCAGGCTGAGATAAGTCAGATTCACTCCTCGATTTGATCAGTCTATAATTTGGACTTGCATGGACTAGCCGGCTCTCTGCAGTAAGGCTTTCACTCCTGTCTCACATGCACAGAGAAAAGGATGTTTTTGGTTTTGGACTGTTAGTGAATATAAAATTGAATGGAAATAGGAGCATAAAAATAATACACACATACAGTGAGAAATAATTATATCTGTTGAAAGAAAATCCTTATTTAATCAAAGCACAAACCCGTTTTCAATTAAATCAAAATAATTTGCATGCCACTGAATAAGAGATGCAAATAATTTCGTGTTTTCAAATGATATTGTTCACAAGTATGAAAAACTGTGCCTCCTCATTTAATCAGAGATGTATATTCCACGCTGAACCAGTACCACTGTTACTGCAAATTCATCCTACTCCATGTGTATTTCCTCTTCCTGCCTTTGTTAATTTCAGAAGAACAAGGTAATTTTGAGAACAAACCACTTCAAAGTATAGAGGAACAAAGGGAAGTGAGTAAGGTTTTCAAGTTTCTAGTCAGTCCCACCTGGTCATAAGTCCACCCCCTTCAGAGGCACTTGTTGAAGGCTGCTGCAACTGTCCTTCTTCCCTCCGCTTCTGAAGTTCATCAATCACAGGACTCACTCCTAATATTAACAGGGCACAACGGTGGATCACAGAGTTGCAGGCAGCCGTGTACACATCCTGACCCTCGGGTAGGTCTGCGCTGACCCTTCGCTCTTGCTGAGACTGAGGAGGTGGATCATCAACTCGAGCCCCAGACCCTGCCCCACTGTTCATTCTATCTCGATCACGGCTACGAGCTACTTCACGGGCTGAGAGGAAACACTGAAAGATTTCTGTAACATGCAACACAAAAACAAGGTCTTAACACATGGGGAGAGAAGAGCAAAGAAAATAACAATAAAAATAGTCAAAACGCTACTGAAAGACGAAAATTATTTTTCACACATTAAATACAAAATAGTAACTTAGTCATATCAAAATATATTAAAATATTATACTTCATAAAAATTACAATAGGTAATAGTCACACATCTTTACAGAATTTAGATCTGGCTAATTCTATCCTGAAGGACTTAAGGATATACTATCTTAAAATATGTGAAATTGGTATATTAATTATTTCAAGCTGAAGTCACTTGAGGAACTGTAACTTCAGAAGATGACATTTAGCCTGTCTTTCCTTACACACAGAAAATCACAGATTTTTTGGTAGGGATGTCCATTATACACCAAGGCCAGAAAATAGCTTTGATTATCAGGAACTGGTAATTGGGGTTGCAATGAATCTGAATAAGCAAATTCTTAGAAGCAAAATTTACCTTTCACTAGCTTTCACTAAGAAGGATTCAATAGTCCTTCCCCCATACCGAATATATTTCTTAGTACCATCCCTAGAATTTATCCCCTAGTCAAGATATCCATTTGTCCCGTCATCCTTCACAAAGTTGTTCTTTGTCTAAAAAGTACACAAGCATCATCTTTTGGTCATTTCTTTGAACTTTATTCTCTTACGAAGATTCCCATGTGTATATAAAATTAATAAAACTTAAATACTTTTCTCCAGTTAATCAGATCTTATACTCAAGTGATTCCTAAATCTAACCAGAAAGCCTACATAAGAACTAAGGAGTAGGAGGGGGGATCTCCCTCTTTTCTGTACAATTTCGAAATCTTATTAATGAGTTAGATCAATAGTCTTCAAAGTATGCTCCCAGATCAGCAGCAGTAGCAACAGCATCTGGGCACTTGCAGGAATACAAATTATTGGGCCCACCCCATTCCTTCTGAAACAGAAGATATGGGAAAAGAGCCTAGAAATCTGTTTTAACAAGCCTTCTGAATGATTTTAAAGTCCACTAAAGCTTATGAAGCACTAGGTTAGATAAAAATAACTTTCTGAAATGTTCCTGGTCTTGGTATGAAAAATGTAAGGTTACAAAGGAAACAGACAAAATTTAAGTACCACTTTATATAATGAAAAGCTCCCTTTCTCCTTCCAAAGTCCATATAATTGCTAACATATACACCTTGATCTACCTTAAAGATACCAAATAAATGCAAAGGCACTAAACCCATATCTGGTTATGATACATCGGCAAGACTAGGAATGTCTACCTGATGCTAGCACTTCCCTAATTTACAAGTATAAAATACTAGAGTAGGTAAAAAGATCTTGATACAATGGTGTATATTTCACAAAAGCTAAAGAAATTTTTTTGCTCAAATTTGGAGTGAAGATAGTGGAAAGTCAGCAGAAAAATACTAGATTCACCTGATAATATGGAAGCAAAAACTTTAAAAATTTATGTATTTATAAAAGTATAACTATTTTAATCATTCTATTAAAAGTCCCTTACTTCTTTTGTTTATTTTGTTTTGTTTTTGTTTTTTGAGACAGGGCCTCACTATGTAGTTGAGACAGACCTGGAACTCACTATGTAGGCCAGGCTGGTCTCTAACTCACAGCAATCCTCCTGCCTCACCCTACCAAGTGCTGGGATTATAGGTGTATGCCGCCACACCCAACTAAAAGTCCCTTACTTGTATAAAAATCAAAGCAACAGGTCCTCTTAAAATCCAGAGGCAAAAATCAGTGAAAGTTAACAAAATAGTCACTGGAGTTTTTTAACAGACTTGGTTCTAATTCTGCTACTGTGGCCCTAGGTGAGAATTTCGACTCCTTAGGTCTTAGTTTATGTACCTCTAGAATGGAGTAATACTAGAAATTTGTAAAACTGTTGTTACAATTAAAAACTAATCTGTGTGAAATACTTGACCCAGTGCCTACAAGGGGTGTTTAAAAATCATAGTTTAAAATGTATTATTCCTTGAGTGACTATTATGCTTTCTTAGGGTTTTACTTAGTTACCGTGTTTTCCTCTTTAGCCTTTGCATTGAGGGATTTCAGAATTAAGTTTAAATTCAGCTGCAAAAAACTTTTTTTTTCTTTGCAGTACCGGGATCTAACTCAGGACCTTGAGCTTACAAGGCAGGAGTGATACCACAGAGCTAAACCTCCGGCCCAGCTGTAAAAATTTCTTCAGCCTAGTTTTTAAAACTACAATCACTCTTCCTTCTCATCTCTAAACTAGTTTTCTGCTTTTGAACCTTATCATTTCCTTTTTAAGTAGTGTTTAATCTTATATGGACCGCTCAGAATTTTTTTAGAAGTATGTGAACACAAGTAAATTGGTAAGAAAGTAAGGGTCAAGGTGGCTGACATACAGATGATCTCAACACCAAATGTATAGCTGACCATAATTTTTAGGCTATAGACTGAATACATTCTCTAAATTGAAATGGTGAAATCACTCAAAAGATACTAATAAATATTTGAAAAACTTTGACCTTTCTTCTCTTTCAAAATATAAATAATTACCTTTAAAAACTATCTGTAGCCTTGGAATATAAAAGTATAAAGTTTAGCCATCCACACAATGGTATTCTCATACACATTCCTTCTCCCTACTGAAAATAATTCTAAAAGTTCTACACATGGAAAACAATTTGACTCTCTTAATAAGCATAGTTGTATTTTGCATGACCTTGTTCAATGACTCATGTGTGTCATTTCATCATGAGGCTCAGACACTTCGTGTCTGCTTCCGCAGCTTTTCAGCCCTGGACACGCAACCCTATAGCGCTGGAATGGCACTAGCACAGTTGTGAGTACCTTTTTGAAATGTTAGCTCATGTAAATTCAGATCACCAGTAGAGTATAGGGTCATCTCAGAAAAACTATAGAGCAACTCTGCCTTTCTCTCTCAAGTCAGCTTTCCTATAAAAAGAAGGGCATGATGTTTATCTCTAAAGTAAAAAGAATGTACTCACTGCCAGCTGTCATCACTTCATGTTCCCGTTCTTCCTCCTCATCCTCTGGCTCTGGATGCCCCTCTTCCCGGTCTCTCTCAGCCTGTTCTTCCATCTCAGCTTCTTCATCAATGGTCCGGGTAAATGAATGTTCCTGAGGATCAACATCTGCAGAATCTTGGTTGTTTGAGATCTTAACGAAATTATCAGAAACTAAACTGAATATATTTTTCAAGAGCTTTTAAAAATTTCTTAAAGCTCCAACTTCATCATAAAAATAGTGCTAGTATCAATAATAGCACACAGATTTTAAAACAAAAACACAAAAGATATAAGGGATTAATCTTAACAGATGAGAAACTATGCACACAAAATATATATATACATGGATATATACATCCTCTCTGGTATTTTTATTACAATGTCATACAATAAACTGATTTACATTTATACTGCTATTCAGCTACAAACTACAGAGCAGCAACTTAAAAATAAATTATGGTAAATACAACACCAAGCAGAAAAGGTAATTAAAGAACACAATTTTGATTTTGTTCTTTCTGTCAAGGTATAGTTTTTACTCTGTGGATGGTTTATAAATTCTAAATTTTAAATAGTTTTTCTTTAACTTTGTTAGTTTTACTTCCATCATCACACTACCCTGCAGTCACAAGTACATACTCAGAAAATCAAATACCATAAAACATATAACTTCTCTTGCAAATTACAGTACAAAGCAAAAATGAAAATTTTATATCTTCTGATCCCATGACCAGTAAATAACTTAGGAATTTCACAAAGATGGGGATTCTAAGCAGTCAGACTCATATATGTATATCATTTATCCCCATAATGTGAATTTCAAATATAAGCCTCAACAAAATGGCACACAAAGTCATTCTCAGAGTCACAAAAACATTAAGTTAGTATATGCCAAAAGTATGTTCTAACATAAATGTACAGATACCTTGGTTTGTTTAATCTAAGAACTAAATAATGAAGTACAAAGCATCTGATGTCAAGTTTCAAAGTAAGCACATGAGAAGACCATGTACCCAGGCTTCTATTTACAATTATAGTATCATGTTACCAAGAATACAAGGCATTTTATAAATCATCTTACTTTTGTTAAAAGAAATACTTCTGGACTACCTCAATAAATGGTTTCAAACTTTTCTTTCAGCGGTGGACACTCTAATAATAGGGGCTGTTTTCATATGCAACCTCCTTCCTTCATTTTCACTTCTCCAGGCTAAACATTTTTTTTTATAGTCCAGTTCTTATTTAAAATTATTTTTGGACTTTTCCCCAATCTTAAATATCTGTTAATGTCCTTCATAATTTCTGGCACCCCAAGTTAAGCAGGCTAATTCAAATGTATCCTGACCAGCATACCTATGACTGGTAAAAATTTTATATTATTATTCGTACAGGCTAAGGCTCCACAAACTTTCTTAGTAGCTCTATCACACTTGATAAAAGTGAAGTTAAATAAATTCCAAATCTTTCACTTTTATCAAGGCACTTTTTTTTTCTCACATAAACCAATATGAGGCTATGTCTCACAACAGGCAGAAAAACACAGAAATTAAACTGATTTCCAACTTTACCCATTTGTCTCGTGGTGATGACCTGGTTTGAATAAGTTCAAGGTTCTTGCAAGCAAGTAAACGGCTTCGAACTTTGTATACACAACGGTACACTTCTGATAAGCTTTTACCAGGTTGGTATCTAAAAAAAAAAGAACCAAAATAGAAAAGTTACCTAATTTCTAACATCATGAGAGCAAATATTTGTCTGAGGATAGTTTTAAGTTACTTGCCGGCTTTCTCCACATGCTTGACTAAGTAAATTTGTGTGTTTCAGAAGTGCTGCAAGAACAAATCTAGACACAGTGTCCAAGAGCGACTCATTACTTAAAGTTGCACTGTCCCAATCTGAAAATAAAAATGATGCATTGACATTTAAAAATGGCTCAGAAAACAGCTCAGAGGTATTTTAATAGTTTTAGTCATCCAACACCTGAATTTCATCATTTTTCTAAACAGGACTTAACAAATTCACATACTATTCCAGGTGCTGGGGATATAGCAGTAAACAAAACCAAGTTTCTGATCTCATGGAATTCAGATTCTTAGCAAGGATTGAGAAGGTGTGTCATGAGTGATAAAATAAATGAAAACACTGATATGATAGGTAAGTACTATGGACAAAAATAAAGCAGCATAAAAAGAACAGGGAAATTTTGCCATATGTGACTGTATGTAATTACTATGTTATATAGAGCGATCATAATAAGACATTTGAGCAGAAATTTAAATCATATGAAAAAAGCCATGTGAAAATAGGACTTTAGGACAGCTAGTGCAGAGAACCTAGCTAGAGGGCTCTAGAAGGTTAGCCTGGCTGGGCTGGAGCAAAGTATACATGCACAAGAACAGTAGGAGAAGACACCAGAGAGCTGGTTAGAAACCAGATGACACTAGACTTGCAGGCCAGTGCAAATCCTCCAGGCCTTACGTATAAGAAAAGGAGAAACAGCATTACATGGCTTTGAACAGAGATATGACATGATATGACTAGTGTTTTGAAAAGTTCTCTGACTAGCTGAGCATGGTGGTACATTCCTGTAATCACAGCATTCAGGAGACAGGCAGTAGAATCACAGGTTTGAGGCCATTATGGGCTACATAGTGAGTTCAAGGCCAATCTGTACTACATAGTAAGACTTTGTCTAAAAAAAATAAGATAAAATAAAAATAGCCATGTGTGGTGGTACATGCCTGGAATCCCAATTCTAGGAAGTTGAAGCAGAAGGGTCACAAATCAACCTCGCCCGGGCAATTTGACAACTTAGTGAGATCCTGTCTTAAAGCAAATAAATAAAAAACGGATGTGAATGTAGTGCAGAGAAGAAAAAAAAAAGGTTCTGACTGCGGAGTAGAAAACCATTTACAGGGACAACAGCAGCAGTCATTACTGTAGTAATTGAAGTGACTGACAGTGGCTCAAATTAGGGTGAGGGCAGTAGATATATGAAAAGTGGCCAGAGTCCATATGAATTTTGAAGGTGCTAACAGAATTTCTAGATGGATCAGATATGAAACGAGAATACGAGAGAAGTCAAAGTTGAATCTAAATGTATTTAAAATGTAGTTGGCCTAAAAATACCACAGAAAAACAGTTTTTAGGAAAGGAGATAGAATCAGGTACCTGCAGAAGGTTAGAAATCACATAATTTCTTAAATGAGTAACTCAAATATGATTTAAAGAGCAAAATAAAAGACGATAGAAAAGAGAAGTAGACCTTTTGCAGACGGGAAGAGGACCTAGAGGTAGAGGAAGAGAAGAAAGGGGAGAGAAGGGGAAGGGGAAGTAAGAAGAAGATGCAGTGTACACATATGTCAACTCCCCGTGAGCATGTTCATTGTTTTGCAAACGTGTACTAATAAAGAGCAACAAATACACACAAAGAATCAGGTATGTTATGATACTGTTAGACATCTTTTTCTTTTTTTTTTTCTTATAATGCAGATGGAACTCATACCCTTCATACATTTTCAGCCCCTTTTTTACATTTTTTATTTTGAGACAGGGTCTTGCTAAATTGCCAGAGCTGGGTTTAAACTTTCAATCCTGCCTCAGCCCCCCAGAGTTATGGCATAATAATAATGCACCACCACCAGGCCCTACATGTTAGTCTTGTTAAAATAAACTCTCAGTAAACTATTCAATGTATATCTCATCATCGAAGCCATGGAAGTAGATTGAGTACAAGTACATTTAAATGGGTAAGAAACGTGGACAGAAATGAGTACATGTCACTTAAAACCCAAATCACAGCATTAGACACTGAGGACTAGTCAGGTGCTTTTTCTTCTTACTCTTTATTCCATGTTTGCACACAAGTATGGTACTGCTAAAATAGAGTACTTAGTAGATTTCAAATGGTGGTAGAGGATTTACAGTCCACTCTGCCCCAGATTGACTGTTAGACTCTGTTCACATGACAGATTAACTAAATGCCTGTGCTACTTGAAAACAAACCAAGGTGGGCATGATGGCTCGCACTTGTAGTCTCAGAACTCCAGGAGGCTAAGGTAGGAGGATCACAACTTTCAGCTCAGCCTTAGCGACTTAACAGCAACTTAGCAAGAGCCTGTCTCAAAATGAAAAACAAAAAACGGCTAGGGATGTACCTCAGTGTGAAGGAACTGTGCTCAATCCTGGAAAAAAAATTATTTACAAATATTAACTCCAACTTAATTTTATTTTTTCCTAAAGACACCTATCTCCACAGATAAAAAGTTATATCCTGATTTTCCATAGGTCAAAAAGTTTAAGTTCAGACTTACCTCCTTTAAGGGTAAAAATTTGACAATATAAATATGCCTGACAAAAAAAACAAACCTTATAGCCACAAAGAGTCTTAGGATGACAGTATTAACCTATCCATACCAGGTTCTTAAGAAATCATCTGTTCTATGGGCCTACTTACTACTCTGAGAACTGCCATGGCTGACAATCACACAGGACTTCCTTTCAAGGAGGCTAACAGTTAAAGAGCAAACCACAGTAACACCCTTTGCTTTGTTTCAAATTCAGGAGGGATTTGTTTTAAAGAGACATTTATAAAGTGCTGTTTGTAATATGCCTTTTCTTATAAAAATATGATTTCTGTGATTTTCTGTTTATACATGCCATGTGTGTATTTGCATTATGAGTCAAAGACGAATTTCCTATTTTTATGCACTTTATCTTACCTTTACTAACCGCATAATCCTGCATGCTGATCCAAAGGCTTCGAGCAGGCTCTTTAGAACAACCCAAAGCCAAGTCTACATAGACAGCAATTTCAGGCCGTAATTTGTAATCAAAAGGCTTCTGTTCTTCATTTCCTGAAAGAGCTACTTCTAACAGGCAACTCATACATTTATCTAAAAAAATATATTCATGTTAATGATTTCAAACCTCATAAATTTGTGCTTCAAATAAAATCTTGCTATGTTTATTTAATGCACATGGAATTATATATTCAGACCCTTTGCAGTACCAAGGTAGAGCTCTTTAAGGCTTTTCAGTTAGACACAGATTCACCTTTCTCAGTCCCAATAGAAGGATGTGACACTAAGGGGGAAGCTCTGGCATTTGGCACTTAGAGGTCAGGGATGAAAAATGTCCTCCATGTGCAGCACAGTCTTGCACAACAAAAAACTGTCAGGTTCAAAATGAAATGATAACCTCTTTGAGAACTATGGGGCCATGAGAAAGAGGTTAGGCAGGATTTTTCTTTTTAGAGACTTAAAGAAAAATCATCAGTTAAGAATGGTCCAAGAATGATGGAAGATTCCAAGAACAATTTCTCAACTGATGGTAACACTTGTACAAGTAGCTCTTAACTTTTCAAAGAGGTATTTGACATTCAAAATTCACTTTACATTTTAAAAAACAAGATGCTCTATCAAAATTCATATTAACCCAGAATATAATTGAATTATTATATACTTACAATTTCACAAGACAGTACCATGTTTCTTTACACAAGTTTTTAAGCCAAAGATACATTTTAATGGGTTTGTGATTTTATAATTTAAAAACTGAAAAATTATGTCAAAAACAAGAGTTCATACTTAGTAAACTGAATAAAGTAAATATAGCAGGAATATAGGGAAGGTAGACATACATTTTTCCTTGGGAGATCATTTGGGGATGACAAAGGGGTAAAATCAGAGGGCATATTTTTAGCATATGAAATATCTTTTTAAAACACCATGTTGCCGGCGATTTGGCTCACTGGTTCCGCCGCCTGCCTTGCAAGGGCAAGGACCCAAGTTTGATCACCAGTACCAAAAAAAAAAAAACAAAAAACAAATAAAAAAAACCACCATGATATTACTTTCTTTCATGTAACAGAAATACCAGTCTAGCACTCCATCAACCATAACCAAAATCACTTTCTGGTTTATAAAAGAAATGATGAATGATGAATGAGGCCAGGGATTTAGCTCAGTGGTTCCACTGCCTGCCTTGCAAGCACAAGGTCCCAAGTTTGATCCCCGGAACCAGAAAGAAAAAAAAATGAATGGATACTCTTATTTGCAAAAAGAAAGTCTTCAACTTGTTTCCTCCCTCCTATTCTCCATACTTCGAAAACCCAAAGGACATTCTTTCTCTCACTTTGTCTTGGTTTCTTTCTTTCTTCTTTTTTTTTTTTTCTGGTTTTTTTGAGACAGGGTCTCACTATGTAGTTGAGACTGACCTGGAACTCACTATGTAGCCCAAGCGAACCTCCTGCCTCAGCCTCCCTCCCAAATGCTAGGATTACAGGTGTGTGTCACCATGCACAGCCATTAGTTTCCTTTTTCTCCTCCTCTCTATCTCTCTCTTCTACTCTTTTCTCTCCCTTTTCCCTTCTCTCCCCCTCCCTGTTGTTCTTGCTCTTACTTTCTTTTGTGGACACTCTCTGAGTCTCCTTGTCTTATTAGAGAAATAATGAAATTTTAGACTAATAAGACCATATACACTGTCTATTCAGACTCCTCATTTCAGAATCAAAATTAGAGGACCAGAAAGATTAAAGGACTATTCCTAAATAAATGAAGTATGGTCATCTGCTGGGGAACTGGATAAGTTCTCACATTTGGTCTGAGAAGTAGCTGGCCAGCAAAGTAGGGAAATGCAAGGTGAGACAGGAAAAACAAATTTTAAAGACACTACAAACAGGTAGAAAAAAAGATTACCACTCAGGGGCACTGGTAAGTCATAAGATGAACAGTGCTTTACTTTGTGTGAAGCAGTTTTATAACCACAAATTTTCAGAACACAACTTAATCAAGCATTTCCCTGTTTTCATGAGTTAGATGAGTTGCTCAAAATGAGTAATAAAACACAAAAGAGATCAGACCTACATTTTCCTCATTCAGGGGCCTCTTTCACTACATCATTATGCAGAATTTAACTGTTTCATCTGTGCTCTTCCCTGTAACTGCTAATATTGCAATCCTCTATCATTTTCTTCTTCAGCAAACTCAGAATATGAAAAATTGCCAACAGAGGTACAAATAAGAGTGTATTTTAAATGTTGCAGAAAAGCATATTACCTAACTGAGGAGTGTCCATTTCAACTCCATCACTGAAAAGTGGTGTTTTCATCCAATATGCAGTGTCCTGTTCCTCTGGAGAAACTGGGGAGCCCTGAAGCATGCCTCCAAGGCACCGCCCGATGAGGAGAGCAATTGTTCTTTCCAAGTCCACAAGCCATACCCAAGACTGAGCTGGCTGAGGTAATGGAACACCAGCAGGATCAATTACTTCCGGCCCTCCTGAAGACAAAAATCATCAATGATTGTGTCTTTGTCTGGTGCTTTTAACAGCCAAAGTTTTCTCATCGCTCTAATCTATTGCATTGCAATAAATTATTGAAGTAAACTAATTTTACAATGGAAACATATAATACTTTATATATTGGCTGGTATATCCAGCTAATTGAAACACAGAAGTATTGTTGCTTTTTTTTTTTTTTTTGGTACTGGGGATTAAACTTGGGCCCTTGCAAGTGCAGGTGGCAGAGAAGTACTATTAAATAAAATTTTCCTTTGTAAAATTACTAATTTTAAGATAAACATTGAAATACTCTTCAGGAAGAATAAGGAGTCTGATTCAGGATAAATTAGATAAGTTCATTTGGCCTAAATATATTCTCACAGACATCCTATGTCTGTTAAAATCAGACTATCCATATTTTATATCCTTAACCCTTATACTAATGTTTTCCTTGACTGGGCTCAGCAGCATGCCCACTTCTAGCACACGTGAGCTACCATGGTAGGTATCACCTTTACAGGGGGATGAATGAATAATGCTTCACATTTTTATAGAACAGCTACAAAGCACAGCAACAATTTTAACACTTGCAACCAGGTTCAATGTCCCTCATTTACCAGTAAATGAGTCTTCATCAAATGGAACATGGAAAAAATTTTTACTAGCCATAGTTAATATAGGAGAAAATTATCCCAAATGCTTATTTTCCTATTATCCATATCAAATTTTATGCTCTTTAGTGAATCTCTGAGATCTTTCTTCCAAAATCAACACAAGAGTTTAACCATTAAGTGACAGTATTAATTCTTTTAAGTCTTGAAATCAGAATTGTCTTGTACAGTACCAAGGTCTAGACACATGCTCTCTTACTATACATTTATTTTTAAAGGTTCTCCACTTTTAAAAATGATAGTCATAGAGGGCCAGGGATTTAGCTCAGTGGTGCCACTGTCTGCCTTGCAAGCACAAGGACCTGAGTTCAATCCCCAGTAACAACAACAACAAAAAAAATGACAGTCATAGTGATAAGAACAGGTAACAGTAAAATAAATAGATATGAAAAAATTACAGCCAGGCATGGTGGCACACGCCTGTAAGCCCAGCACTCGGGAGGCTGAGGCAGGAGGAATGCTGTGAGTTCGAGACCAGCCTGGGCTACATAGTGAATTCCAGATCAGTCTCAACTACATAGTAAAAACCTGTCTCAAAAAAAAAAAAAATTACAAATCAGAAAATACTAATAAAATGGGTAAGCCTCTAATAGTCAGTAAAGAAAAACTGCATACATTTTTAAAAAAAGAGTAGATATAATCATAGATTAGAGATTTTTTAAACCATAAGTTAATGCGAACAATTTTATGTCAATAAATTTGAAAACTAACAAAATGACTTTTTCTGGAAAAATCAGTTTTAAAAATGGATTTGAAAACAAACAGTAACCATTAAAGTCAAATAACTGCCATGGTATCTATAAAAATATCTTCCAGACTGGAAAGTTTTACAGATAAATTTCTCTCGAATGTCAAGAAATGACATTGCACAAATTATTTCAGACAACAACAACAAAAAAGGATGATTCCAAATTCATGCTTCAAGGTGAGTATACTTTTGGTAGCAAACACGAGTCAAGGGTAGCAATAAAAAGTAATATAGTATAAAAATATCAGTTATAAACACAAGTAACAAAAATTTAAAGTAAAATGACACCTATCATGACACAAAAAGAGTGACTCTTTAGAGGTTTAAGATGTTTTAGAAAAGTAACAATAAACTCAGAGCAGCTCCATACAAATCCTAATCACTATCTTATAAACTTGACACTTTGACTCTACCTAATATCCAGGGGTCATAGAACCACACAAAGTTACAGACAGGCCCTCAAGGTCATTCTGTCCAACCTCAAGGTTTTCCAGAAGAAAGCAATGCTATAAGTGGTGATACACGACTTTCTCAAGATTATACCACAAGTAACTAGTACAGCCAAGACTGAAAATTAGATCTTTTCAAGCTTTGCCTCAGGGTTCTTTGTAATGAAACAAGAGGTCTAACTTGAAAGGTTTTTAAGATTTCAGTTATGAAGCAAGTTCCTTCAATAATAGTCAAGGGATAGACAGGCTCATATGGACAAACAAAGTATCTTTTGTGACACAGTATTTTAAACTAGACTCGCCAACATTTTATAAATCAATGGTAAATTAGACTGCCATGTCTATTTCCTATAAAGCACCTAAAAAGAAAAACACTGAAAGCTTCTCAATATCCATCTTTTACCTACATATCTAACAAAACACCAAATACTTTGTCAAGCCGATTTGAAATATAAAATATTTTAGAATTAATTAGCACATATTTATGGGTTTATTGTAACATCTCCATATATATATAAAAAAGGCTTTGTTCTACCCGCTCTACTACCTTTTCTTCCTCCTCTACCCTCCCTACTCCACTCCCCTTTCCCTTCCCTAATATTGTAGTCCTCTCTACTGTCATATTGTCTTTTTCTAAATAATTCTTTAAGAAATAAAACTTTTGTAGGGGAAAGATAATAAGGGAAAAGAAAAAATGTGAGAAAATGAAAAAATGGAAATAAAGTGTTTGTAAATGGGGAGGGGAGGAGGGGACGAAGGGAGGGCAGGGATTAAAAAAAGAACAAAAAAATAAAACTTTTAAATAGAATCTAACAATGCATTTATGATTAAATGCATCATTATTTTAAGTATCTCTAAGGAAAAATGATGCTGACTAAATTATGACATAATGCTTTCCTATCATTTCCTACTCATTGTAAGATGTATCTCAATTTTACCAGTCAAAATTTAAAGAAAAAACCTTAGTAACAGTGAAATACAGAACACTTTAAGTCTCCTGCACAAACATCTTTCTTCACAGTCCCATGCCACTTGCCTACTTTATACCACAAACTCTCCGAAGATGATTATCTTTTGATTACACAAAACACCCAGTAACAGACATGATTTGGGCTGACATTCAAGAGGGACTTCTCAAAAGTGTTATTTACTCTTTTATGACCTTTACTTACCATGAAGAGGCCACTGTAACTCTTGGTCTTCTAAAAGAGCTGCAGCTGGCAGGAGTCTATTAAGGCAATCAAGAGGTGGCAAGAGATCGAGGAGGTAACTCAACAGGGGACGAGCCACTGACACTGGGAGTAACAGCAGGGAGTTAACAATCTGGCAGAGCATACTGCCTGCAGCTGAGACGTATATCACATCTATAAAGGGCAAGAAGTACAATGTGAACAACTATCTCAAACAAACTGTTAAAAAAGAATCAAAGAAAAACTAGTTTAGTTTGTAACAGAGTAAACTAAGCCAACAACTCTTTCTGAACACTTCCCTGCTAGCTGGTGCCATACTAATATTTACTCACTTTCAGAAAGTGCCACCAAGAGACACTCCATAGAAAAGCATACATATCTTTCATGCCAATTGATTCAGTGGGTTTTAACTTTTAAACTACATTATGAATTTCTCAGTGATAAATTATCTTCATTGGAAAATTGACTTAAGTATTTAATGAATACCCACAAGACCAAGCACTGTTCTATGTGAAGGTAATACATCCATGACCAAAGCAGCCAAAAATTTCTGCCCTCGTGGTGGTAATACTGTAGTTAGGAAAGCTTTTTAAAATTTTTTGAACCAAATTTAATTTTTAAAATTATTATTACATTGAAGTGTTTTTAGTATAGGCATAGGTTTTAAATCAAATTTGTTTAAACATTTCAATGTATTTAGGGCTAGAAAGAATATTCGGAGATGAGTTTAATGTAAAAATGCTAAATTTTAGTTGCTTGTGGAACAACCACATAGAGATGTCTAATCATAAATAGTTTCAGTTCCTCGGCTTGTTTCTTTCTCTCCTTGGCTGGGAAACTTCAGAGATGAGACTGTCTGAGACAGGCATGGTGAATTTTAATTGTTAATGGGACAACCAAGAACAGATATCCACATACAAAGGCTCTAATGCTCAAGAAAGGAATTCTCACACTGAAGTCAGTAACACACAGGGTGGTTAAAGACTGAGATTAGATCAAACCATTCAGGAAGAAAAAGACGGAGAAAACAATTCAGAGGATCCCCAATTAAAGGAACAGAGGCCTAACACAGCTCATGGAAAAATAGTAGTCAGAGAGATGAAAAAAAAACACAACTGTGACCACACAGAAATCCATGGAAGAAAGCTTTCAAGAAGGAAAAAGGAACACTGGAAAAAGCTAAAGAAAGATAAAGAAACAGTAGGTGATATATCACTTTATACCATTTGAAATTGATCTTTTGGATTTTACACCACCCAATGCCTTTAAATTAGGTCTTACTGTGTCAGTTAGAATCTTTTCAGGTTAGCATTATCCCTAAACCAATATTAAAGAAATATTCAATAAAAAAGAGATTCAAAACAATTCCTCTTCTACTCAAGAGGCTGCAGTCCTCAAGGCTTTAGGAAGGTTAACAATCCTTACTCTTAAACTACTCATTAGATGGCAATTCAATACCAAACTAACCTCTTAATTTTTCTCCAACACTGCCATTCCAAGGACTCTCTTTGAGCAAATTTGCAGAACGAGAATAAATATCTGTGGCATGAGGCAGTAAGAGCTGAAGATGTTTATGAAGCAATGCCACACTGCTTGAGTTCTGAGGAGAAAAAAGTTCCTTAATTACTGTGCTAAAAGACTCAAGGTACGAAAATATTATAGTATACCCAAATATCTGAGTTTTAAGGTCCCTGATAGATGATCATAAAAAGCAAAGAATCACATACCTCACTAATGTTATTAATATGGCAAAACGCCAACAGCTGTTTCTGTAGTGAACACAGCAGTTCATGAAGATGAGCAGGCTGACTGTTCTCTGATGATGATGTTCCAAGTAGAAATTTATCACTATTCTTTTCTAGCTCTCCAAATGCTTGATCCTAAATGACATGTTAAAGATTTTATCTGAAAGGTTTCAAAATGTCCTATTTTTCCTACTCCTGTTACCAATTTTTCCCCCACTACTGGGGATTGAACCCCAGGCCTCTGTACTGAGCTACTATTTCCTTAGCTCTTTTTTAATATTTTACCTTGTGACAAGGTCTCCCTAAGTTAACCAGGCTGGGCTTGAACTTGCAATCTTCCTGTCACAGCCTCCTAAAGTGTTGGGATTAAGCCAACACACCTGGCTCAATTACCAATGTTTCAAATCTTTGTTTATAATCCTTGTAATAAACTACTAAAATGTAAAATTTCAATTTGCTTTTCTATTTAAGAAGTAACATTAAGAAGTAACGCTTCACTCTAAAAACTTTGAAAATACAGAAAACAAGAAAATAAACAGGGCCACTGATTTAGTTCAGTGGTGCTGCCACCTGACTCGCAAGCTCAAGGTTCTGAGTTCAATCCCCAGTACCACTAAAAAAAAAAAAAGGAAAATAAAAAACAGTGTGACTACTCAAAGACTACATACAAACATTTTTATGCTACTCTTTTTGAGATCTTTTGTGTAAAGGTTTGTTTTCACATTTTATAGATTTTTAAGAACATCACTCTTAGAAATTAAATTTTTTCCAATTATTAAATAAATAAATGGACTAAAAGAAACATGACAACTAAATACAATATGTGATTCTGGACCAAATACTAAACTGGGAGGGAAACTGCTATAGAAGATATTGCTGGGACAATTATTAACCACTTAACAGTCTACCGCTTCTGACACTGAGGCAGTGTGTTTATTTACTGACTATTCTGAGCATTGCTATGGCACAGGTGTCCTCTGAACCAGTCAATTCTTGTCTTGAATAAATCTGATAAAATTGTCCTTTATATATTTCCTGTTATACAAATTAATGAGAAGGTGTTATACAGCTTTTTTATTTGATTGTTTAGTTATAACAATGGAGAGCAGAAATTACAAACTTCTAAGTACACTAGCTTTGGAAGAGATACATGTATAATACATTTATTCTGTCAGACTAAAAAAATAAAGTATTAACTCTATGACTTTTTCCCTCTAATTATAGAAAGTTAAATAATGTATTACCAAGAAAAATATTTCTAATAAATAGAACATACCCAATAGCAGGGTTCCTAATGTGTATTTTTAAAGCACATATCTGCTTAGACAGAAAGCAAATTATCACATTAGTAGAACTCAGTATTCAAAACTTTGAGAACTCTTCACCTATGTGTATCACCAAATAAAGGTTTTGTGGCTGTTAAATTAATTTTTAAAAATTAATGAAATAATTTGCAGGGCCGGGGTTTTAGCTCAGTGGTGCCTCTCTGCCTGCCCTGTAAGCACAAGGTTCCAAATTCGATCCCCAGTACAAAAAAAAAAAAAAAAAAAAAAAAAAAAAAAAAACGGCACACCT